ATAATTAACACAGGTCTTTTGAAAACATGCAAGATAGCTTCTTCCTCTGCTGTGCTTATAGACGACAACTTTGGGGCAACAGTTCCCACTCTGACAACAGCATCAAGTCCTTATCCTTCATTCAACAATTCAATATAAATCGTTTCAACAACTAGAAGCTGTCTACTGGGTTTAAATGTGGATGGTTAACCTTAATGCGAGAATCCTCCTATTTTTTGGTTAGCACTTACGGATATGAGTTTGCTTACGTTTAAAAATACAAAAATATATTACCTCTGTAGTCATTCAAAGAAAGCATTTGCACATGTAGTAGTAGTATCAGTATCTGTCACCTTCATTGTGAGTTTGTTGCAGCTCAAACAAGTAACAATACATGAATACATGAAATTCAAGTAAACAACATCAGGTCAAAAAAAGGTAAGATATTTGAGGACCTCATGCATAATGCAGTGTGAGAAACAGAAACTCTTTACAAGTACAAAAGGAAGCAGCATTGTAATAGTTCTTACAGACACTTTTTGGGGTCTAGTTGTGTCAGTTTGGGTCCGGCCCGCAGCTCTGTAGCCCATACAGAAACGCATACATATTGGGAGGATCGGTTTCCTGAGATTTTGTAACCCATGGATATAAAACAAAAAATCGAACTTGCAGACAGGCTTGAGTGTTTGGGAAAGCATGCAGTTGTGTATCATTTTGGTAAAAGCTAGAACATTTACTGACCTCTTATGTATCTGACAAGCAAATCTGCAAAGACTTTTCTTCCACACATACGGTTATCAATCACAGGAAAAGAGCAGGCAAGAAGACTCTTGGAAGATTCAGTTACTTCTCTAGCTACAATCCAGGAGCATATGGCAAAGGTGAGGAAGGACTTCGTCTTAAATGATCTGTCGAACGTGTGATTGAGAACAAGAAGACAAAAGCAAAACATCTCAAAAACATAGTTTAGACTGCAGCTCCACATATACACCTGGTAAGGAGAAGCAAAAGATGGGGTCCAGAGACGGTTATCACTTATTTCTGCCACGAAGAAGTAGATGATAGACTTACAGTGCAGCATTGTGCATTTTTTTTTCTTTCACAAACTTCTCTGTGTGAGCAACAGTACATATTAGGATCACAACTTGCATAGTGTAACAGCACAGCACACAAAAGGAATACCGTGCATACTTCTCCTGTTTCTTGCCTTTATCAGCTGAATAACACGTTACGCAGCTGGCTGCAGCTGCTTTGACAGGTTTCCTGTAGTCAGTCTGTGTTCCAGCTGCGTGGGGTGGATGACACTTGCACATGAGCATCTGACACAATAATACTGATAGACAAAACAAAAACAAATACTGCAGAGATCAGTGCTGAGAATACACACACAAGACTTAATAGTAGTGAATTTTTACAATAAGACCGATGAGTAGTGGGGTTAAATATAGTACTTTGGCTCAGTAGAAAACAGACTCAAAAACAAATATGTGCGCCAAATGCATACAAGTCTGTGGGCATACTTCCGTACAAAAGTCAGTTGTCAGGCGTTTTTAGGCTGCAGGCTACAAGTCATTATGTTAGTGTTAAGTGTTTCCAAAAACACGTCATCTTAGAGTGCTGGTGACTGCTTCTCTGATTGTAAGGGGATTCATGAATTCATGGGTGCCGGCCAGGCTTCTTTCACAGTCTCTCAGCTGGACTGGCTGCGTGGGCCATATCTCCCCAATCTTCCTCAGTTCAAAATATCTAGTGGAAATGATGTTCTCTTTCAAGCTGTGCTCATGGTATACCACCTAATAATGCTTATTTTTTAAATGCTGATTGTTGTACTGAAAGGAATTAAAAATGTAAGAAAAATAACAATATGTTCACATAAAGGCCAACATAGTCGAGATTCATTATGCTTTTTAGTTCCTATGAAGAAGACAGATGAAACTCCACCCTGCCTTCTCAGGTTCATAGTGCACGGAGAAGAAATTGCGAGACAGACAGAAACAGGAGCATATAGGCATTATGTCCCTGAAATAGTTCTGAGCACCTTTATGGTGTGGTGTGCTGGCGGGTAATGTTTCAGAGTCACATGCTGGCAGAAATATTAACCAGGCCTCAGTGTGTTTGCGGAAAATACCTCGCTCGCTCGCTTCTCACTAGTTTTTGGTTCTTAGTGTGCTGTTGTTGCTTCAGTCTTAAACTCCTCTCATTCCTTGGTTTCCATCTCAGTTCATGGCGTGCTGGCGAATTGTGTGGAAGATCCAGTCCATCTTGGTAGTCCAGCCGCCATGATGAGCGTCATTCATCTGTTTCATGAAGTACTCAAGGGCCTCCTGCTCCGTTTTATCCAGCGCCAGGGTCTTTCTGATATAAGCGATGTCATCGAAGGACTGCAGCTCAGGCATCCCTGAGCCCAGCATCATAGAGAACAGATTGATGAAGAGGTTGGCGTGCTGCCTGATTGCCAGGTATGCCTTGTAGCACATTTCCTGGAACCTAAGAGGGGAAAAAGCAAAAGGTATCAGGAAAGAAATGCAAGAGTTCCTTACAAATCTGCCTCACAGAGTAGGCAAAGGTTTACCCTCAATGGATTAAAATGAATCATTCCTGTAACGCACTTTAACAAACTCATGTCAACTGCTGGTGTTACCTTTCAAACTCCCTTGTTTTGGTACACTCTTGAGTTCCTTTGCTAATCACGATCAAGAAGTCCTGTGTAAGCACAAAGGGCACACGTTCTCTCTTGTACCCAAACTTCTTCTTTTTGTGGTCGAGGAAATGGCCGAAATCTATGTGGAACAGCTGTGAAAACATGAGGAAACAATTGTTTTTAAAGAAAGAAACTGAAAATATACATTATATATATACATTATTATAACACAGAATGTCAAAATGCAGTCTTTACCTGTCCATCATCTTTGACCATAATGTTGCTATTGTGTCTGTCCCCTATACCCAGGATAAATGTGGCTACACAGTAGCCTGCACATGACCGTGTGAAAAGATCTATGGCTTGGTCATACCTGCAAAATCAAACAAATGGAAAATACATTAGTTTCAGAGAGGATCCAGTATCTATGAGGACCATTACTACAAAATAAAAAAAGAAGTCGTCGAGGGTTTTACACCCTGAGTCCATCTATTAACACTAACTCCACCTCTATGTTGTCCAGAAAAGCTGTATAAGTCACTGTTTTTGCAACTCACATCTCTCCCTTGTTCTTATCCTTGAGCCACTGATGCAGTGTGTGGCTGTTGAACTGCAGTGCCCCCTTCAGGCCTCCTTTACACTGGATCTGCATAATGGTGTGAGAGTTCCTGACTACCTCAATCAAACCCACACAGTCACCGATTGACAGGCAACCATATGGCAGCATCCTATGAAAGGAGGGACAAAAAAACATAAAGAGTGGCAGATAAAATGAGGGCAGCAGTGATGGGCTTTATTCTAAATGACCTGAGGTAGCTGGCAGGGGTTGCTGATAATCTGCATTCAGACATGGAGTAGACAACACAAAAGATCCAGCTCCTGTTATTATGTACCTGCATCGTTGCTGTCATGGTGAAGTGAGGAGCCTACCTGAGATCAAGGCCTTGGTTCTGCCAGATGTTCTCCATTATCCTAATGATCTGCAGTGTCAGCATGTCCTGTCTCAGATCTGCGGAGGCAGAGAGAGAAGAAGTTAGATGACGGCAAGATGAATATTAGATGCTTGGCTGCTCTTTGATCAACGTTATGGAGCAGAGCTGTCGAAGTCAGCCTGGTCACAGATGGTGCAGCAAAATCCACAAGCAGCTGTGGTAAAATGTGATTCAAATAATGCGACTTGGTCTCTCTGAATTCATAGATGAGGTTGTGTTCATGTGCAATGATATGCCTGACAGGCTTAGACTGAGTTATGCCCAGCAACAGTGTGTTCAAGTCTGTATGAGACATAAAGATGAACAATGGATGGACAAATAAAGATTAAAAAAAAAAGCAGAGAAGAGAAATGATGAGTCAAAGCTCACCATCTCCATTTTTGAAGATGATCTCGTTGTTCTGAAAGAGCAGTTCTGACATCATATCAGGGTTTTCCCAGTTAAGCCATAGAGGTCGCTTAGCTGATGACATCATCCTGCATTCCTCCAGGCTGAAACAGACACAGGGATATGCTGAACAAGAAGAACAATGATAAACAGCAAGCCAACAAGGCCTCGCTAATTGTAGGCTGCACACACAAGTTCTGACTTTTAAAATAATGTATATATTGTTTCATCCCAGCTGAGTCAGGATTTAAGTTTACTGTAAAATGAGTATAGTAAAATGGGTGCAGCTGTTCCGCCTCGACCTTTGTGCAAAAGCTGAGAGGTGGCTTATATGGCTGTGGGAAGAAGCGTGTCTTTCTGATGAAGCGTTGTTTCTGTGACTTGCCACCGGGGGATTTGAATTTTAACGCTGCTCACAAGAAACAGAATCTCTGATTGTAGTCATTAACATGTTGTACACTACTAAATGTAAATGTGCAGGACGAGCAAAACCATATCTCTACTTTGTTCATCTGCCACTGTTGATCTGAAAGCAACGCCACTGGCATGCTTTGTATTTTCGACGTACGTTATATGCATGGTTTCCATCACAATAGAAAGTCACTTTCGGCTTTTCCCGTTTTAGGGGTCGCCACAGCGAATCGTCATACTGACAACTCGCATGTTGACATTTGGCACGTGTTTTATGCCGGATGCCCTTCATGACGCAACCCTGATTCAAACCCGGGCCGCAGCAGCAAGAGCGCTGTGCCTTAACCACTAGCCTATCAGGGACGGCTCCATGATTTCCATCACAACAGACATGTTAAATGTCATGGCTCGAATACCAGGATGCGAGTATATGGGTACAAAACACAAAGACAGCGCCAGGCCAGCTGTTTTTAGTTCAGTGTAACTAGGCAGTGCCGCAGTAGACAGACCAGCTTAAGGCTAATATAGTGGAGTTTCTGTGTAAAAGAGGCATTAGATAAGAGAGTGCTGATGTACCGGAGGTTTCCCAGCTGATGCGCTGGATTCAGTGGAGAGTTGAAGCCTTGCAGTGCATCCATGTAGTCAGGCCTTCTCATCTGCTCTATCAGAAACTTCATTTGAACCTTAGAATAAATAAATAAATGTATTAGTTAATGCTGCTTCACAGAAGGCTTTTGGGGTAAAGTCAGGCACCCTCTGGTGGCTATGCTGAAGGTATACAGCTCTCAGCATTAACATGAAAATAGTATGAGAAATTCTGAATCCTAAAAGCACAATTCTCTGCTCAGCTATTTTGCACTGAGTAGAGGGTCACTGGTCATTTCATCATGGACATCATCAGTTACTCATTGGGTAATAATATGTGTAGATTCATTAAGGTAGTTAGCTAACTGTGCCTAGACAGCTATCCTAACAAGTATGACAATTAACAAGTGGCTAGAACTTTCTTGTAGCCCAGAGTTAATCTGACTACTTAATTTGCTGAGATGTTAGGCAGCTAGCAAGCACAGTAAATACATAAGACTAATATGCAACATTTATGCAAGTTTGTGTTCTGCTTGTTCAACAGCTCTTTGATAAACTGCTCTGTCTACATTAGTGGCTGATTTTGCTGCACCATGATTAACAACCTCTGCTCAGCTGTGTGTGTGAGGAGCTCAGCCCCACCCCTGTGTAAACCGTGATCGACACAGGGAACATCCATCCATCCATTATCTATGCCGCTTATTCCTGCATAGGGACCCCGGACAGATCGCCAGTCTATCACAGGGCTGACATGTAGACAATTGCCTAGGGGCAATTTAGAGTCACCAATCAACCTAGGTTGGGAGGAAGCTGGAGTACCTGTAGAGAAACCACCCATAAAGCCTCGGGATGGCCCAAGCTTGAAACCAGACCCTTCTTGCTCTAAGGCAACAGCGCTAACCACTGTGCTACTCTGAGAAACCACAAAAATTGGGTTAAAAACACATTCTCAAAGCAACTGAAGATAATGCTACAGGAATATAAATTCAGCTAAAAGTACCACACCAATGTTATGAAACAGGTGCCAGTCATTTAACTTATTTTTCTTTCCGTTGTCCCTTGACCATATTTGGAACTCAACTTTATCAAGTGCCAGACTTTGGCTATTACTTTTAGGATCACGCCCCTTTTTCAGAGATGTATTATCCTGGTTAGGCTGAAAGATATTTAGCAGCCTGCAAACTGAAAAACTGACTGTCCAAACTGTATTATATGATGGCATCCCTGTGGCCAGATTCGTAAACTCACCGAGAGGATCACAATTACCAGCTGCCGACTATCATATTACCTTCTGTGTCTCATCTTTTTTCTCCTGTTTGAGAAGGTCGGTGAGATTGATGAGTTTCTCCATGGCCTCCACCTGTCTGCGCAGGTGTTTCAAATACACGCCACAGGCCCTGCAGTATGACTCCAGCAGCAGGCCGAACCGTTGGCTCACTGTCTTGTTGTGCATCTCTGACCTGAAGATGTGTAGACCAAAAAAAAAGGGGTTGTGTGTGCCATAATGGAAAATGCTGTTTTCATAGAACTTTCTTAATTTCAACATGATTTGGGAGCAGACCGTTAAGTGACATTCAAACAACAACTTAACCTTTAAAGACAAATACAAACAAATCTAACTCACTTTAAATGCCAGAAAAAGAAGTGTCC